TCCAGTCAGTTGGCCAAGTGGTTGTTCTCCAGATTTCTTGGCACAACTTGGTGAGCACATCCAGGGCAACATGTGTTATCTGAAATACTTTAATTGGTATACCATCTATTCCTGGGGCCTTATTTTTTGCTATTTCCTTCAAAGCAGCTTGGCACTAAATTAGCTTCATTAACCTAAATATTAGGGAAGTTTTTCATCCACATTTGTGGATTTCTTCAAGCTCCTTTTTCAGCCTCCTGCTGGCCACCTTCTTGGATCTGGTGCTACTGCTGTCCCAGATCTTTTAAGATTTTCAGGTCAGGAGATGTGTCATGGAGCAGAAAAAATGTTTCAGATTTTTGTGTTCTCTACCCTTGTAATCTAGGCTCTAATTTGTAGGGACCATCTACCATGATTGCCAGTTCCTGAGGGTTGAATAATCTTTCCTCACCAGCTATGGCTACCTAGGTATGGTAAACTAGGAAGCAAGTCTCAGAAGAAGTTCTCTGGGTTATTCCTATTCAGGCCTCCAGGTCTCCAATGTCAACCTATCCAAGTATTCATATACTCATTCACCAAACACGTACTGTGTGTCTACTATATGTTACTGTTGTTAGTGACTGCTGAGTCAACCCCATAGGCATGGTAATCCCAAGTGCAATGAGAATGGGTCATTGTCATCTATAGAATTTTTACTGTTTAATTTTTCCCAATTTCTTCCCAATCTATCTGAGCCAGTATCTTAACAACACATATGTCTCCACTGACAGATGGCTGGTAGCTGTGCATAAGAAGCATAGGTTGAAAAAAATTATATGCAACACGAGTGAACCTGGAAGGCATTATGTTGAGTGATATATCTCAGTTACAAAAGGACAAATAGTGCATACATAGCTATTATAAAATAGGACTGACAAAGGAGGGAAAAAAGTAGATAGATAATGAATACTTTACTGGAGCATATGATGGGAAGGGGAAGGACTGTCTGGAGAGAATGAGTGATTAGGCATTATTGAATGACAACAATTTGGGACAAGAAGTGCATTACAAGGTGGACTGGGGAAGGAGAGAGGGACAAGGAGGGAGGAAAATGTACGACAATGAATGAATGATTGAATGAAAACCCAACCTTTTTGTAAACTTTTGTTAAGATCACAATAAAAATATTAAAAAATGGGATGGGGGGGAAGAAGCATTGGTTAGGACTCAAACCTAGAGCTCCCTCATGAAAAGTAAGAATTCTCCCACTGAGCTACTGCAGTACAACCACTGCCCTTATATGTTAACAAGATAGGTTCTTAACCCTTGAGAAGTCCACGGTCTCTGTTGGGAACATTTACACGAACAGTTAAAATCCAGTGTGGTAAAAGCTGTACTTGAGATGCATACAAAATACCAAGCGAGTGCAGAAAAGAGCTGGTAGATAACATGGCTTGGCTCCAGAGGGCTTCATAAATTCCAAGCAAGTGGTCCCAGTGTGATGTCCTCTTGGGATAATGGGTCTTTATCACCTGGGGAAAGGTGGGGAGGGACTTGAGGTAAACAAAACAATGAAGACAAAGACAAAGAGACCTAAGAGAGTAAGCAAAGGGCACGGAGCTCTGTTAAACGCAACGGTGGATGAGAGAAATTAAGAAAATGCCCCCTTACTGGAATCTGGCATCATGTTAGGTGCCAGGCAGGAGGCTTTGGACTTTATCCTTAGATTTTAGGTCACACTGAAGGCAGGTTGCAAAGTCAGAGGCCTACTAGGTGGTGACGTAAACTGATGAGGTGGGCTGGGTGGGGAGTTGGAAACGGAGAACACGCCCCCATCCAGAAGCAGTGGCAGCCAATGTTACCATATGGAGTGCAGGCCGAGTGTAGCCAACTCTCCACTGATTTTTTTTTTTTTAAATAACAACCTGGAAGTCATATTTTCACATGAGCACTCCTGGCATTTGTGGTTTGTAGTTGCTGTGGGGGTGATTCTGACCCATGGCCTCTCCGAAGGTACAGAGTGGAGAAATGTTCCGTAGGACTTTTGGGAGCAGCATGCCAGATCTCTCTCCTCTGAGATTTGAACTGCCAACCTCATAGCTAGTAGTAACTGAGTGCTCAGCCACTTACTTGCACTACCTAGGAACTCTGACATTTAAGTGTTAGAAATTATCATAGCGTTCTGAGAAAAAATAAAAGATATGATGTCTTACTGGCCGTTGGACCTTCAATGTTGCGACTAACATCCCCAGACATGTCCACATAATCTGTCTGCACAGCCTGTGCCAGGAAGAGCTCTGTCACCCAACATCGCCCACTCCATGCCTCTGTACCCCTTTTCCCTCCTCACAGCTCTCCCAGGCCCCTCTTAGCCCCAGCCCCCAGCTTTCACAGTGGAGTGAAGCCATGAATGACGTTCCAGGCCTGGCTTACAGAGAGGAGACCAGAGTGAGCGACACAAGAGAGCCGTATTTATTTCACATGGACAAGCATGATTCCGTCGCATGCTGAGCACGAAAGCTCACGAGAGGAAAAGTACCCGTAACAGCAGAATATGTGCTTTTTTTTTTCCTTTTTTTCTTTTTTTTTTTTTTTTTTTAGTCCACAGGAGGCAGGACAGTCACAAGTGGTTTTCAAAGACAGTATCCACCACCACGCAAAATTGAAACCTTTGAAATCACTGGTGCGTTTCATCATCAAAGGGTGTCACCTAGGAGGCACGGGAGGTGTGTCCTGCTGTGGTCTGAGGACTGAGGATGGTCTCTCACCCCACCAGTCAGGACTGCTCAGGGAGAGTGGGCACAGAGGGAAGGGCGTGCCATCTGGCGTTAACATGCCCACAACAGAGTGGACCGTAACAATGACAGGCTACTGCGCTCATGGCAACAGAACCATCACCCCTCAAACATTTATCATCACTGGAAGAGCCACTCTTCTAAAGGCATCTTGCCGAGGCCTATTCTGGGCTGAGAGGGCTAGTGCGGTGGTGTATTTGGCTGTTAACCAAAAGGTCAGCGGATCAAATCCACCAGCCATTCTGAGGGAGAAGGTTGTAGCGGCGTGCTTCTGTAAAGGTCACACTCTGGGCAACGCTAAGGGCTAGTCCTGCTGTCTTTGAGGACCACTGCACATCAGAATTGCTTCAATGGCAGTCGTGCTTTTGTTTGGGCTTTCTCATGGGTGGAAGGAAGAATGATTCTGAAATTGGCCTGACATGTCACAAGCAGATCAGCTTTGTTTTGACAGATGGGGAGAGCTGGTGGCAGAGGACCCCTGGCTTCTTGGCCTTAACTGGACTCCTCCAGTCCAGGATGATGGGGAAGGAGGGGTCTGGACCCATATTGCAAGGGAGAGATGACAATCAGCGAGCAAACGACACGGAAGGGAAAGACCTGTTGTACGTCCTTGGCTTATTCCCACCGGAAGTCCTGCCCAACAGTCTCATAAAATTTAATATTATAAGGCCTATAAAACTCCCGGAGCTGGTCTATGACCTCAGGGTCTATCTGCACGTGAGTTCTCCCTTTGGATTTGCCCAGGCACCGAGGAGGCAGGAGGCTCGACTCGGGTTTTTTCAAGCAAGGGAAGCCTTTGGTCTTGTTGAAGTAGAAGTGCTTGTCCGTGATGAACCTCCTGATGCCCAGGAAGTCCTGCACGCGCCCCATCTCGCCGGCCGGGTCGGTGATGAGCCGCTCGCCGCTGACGAAGTGGATCTGGGCCAGCGGGAAGTACCGCAGCCAGCTCTCCAGGTGCAGCGCGTACATGCCGATGCGGATGGCGTTCCAGGACGCGTCCACCAGGCCCAGCGTGCGGTTGCGGAAGGACAGGCCCTCAAAGGTCGGGATGTCCGGCTTTTTGGAGAGTGTCTGGGTGTAGTCGGAGATGGCCCGGGTCACGGGATTCCGCACCACCACGATCAGCTTGGTGTCCCGAGACATGTTGAAGATCCGCCGGGGCGCCTCTTGGGTCACGAAGTAGCTGGGTGTCTTCTCCAGCGTGATCTGGCTCTCGAGGGTCCTGGGCATGAGACTCCTGCGGGGGCAGAAGGGTCACATCATCAGAGGTGATCCGCAAGATCATCTCCCTGCCCCCACGTCCCCACGGGGTCCCCCTTTCTCTGCTACCTGGTGATGACCCACATGGACTCTTCAATCAAAAACCAACCAACCATCAAATAGGAAGCAATCCTAACTGACCCTCCTGCGGGTTTTCAGAGCTTGTAAATCGCCTGGGAGGACACTGTCCATGTTCCTCTCACTAAATGAGCAGCTGGTGGACCCAGCAGCTGCCTTTGAGTTTACTCCACAGATCTTACCACTAGGGCACCAGAACACCCTTTAACTATTATGGATGGATTTTTTTTTCTTCTACTAAAAGTTTGCCTGGAAGCAGGACTGACATCCACTTCCAAAATGGCTTGCCTCCGGAAACCCTATGAACAGTGCTCAGGCCTTTCTTTCATAGGGTCACTATGAGTTGTCTACGACTCGATGGCACCTAATAACAACAACAACTAAAAGTTTGCAATAAGACTGGACAGAATATAAAAAGACATCAATAAGGGTTAAATATATTGTAAAATAGTCCAACAGAGGCAGGTCAGTATACGTTAAAATGCAATGTTCGCTCAGATCTAATGTTAAAGGTAAAAGAAGGTAAGATGTGTGCGTACTAGGAAGGCTATGTACATAAAACCGTAAAGGCGGTTGTTCCTAAGGAAGGGATCTGAGTTAGGAGGCAAGGGGTAAATGGGAATTACTTTTTCTTGGATAACCTACTTTTTGGAGCATTTTAATGTACTTATTATATATTTGAAGCTATATATTGATTTATTTCTATAACCAACCAATAAATAAAGCCAGTCACTGATTATGGTTCTTAAAAAATGATATTTCTCCAGGATTTTAAGAAAAAATTTGGACACAAACCTATTATTTTGTAGCAACAGCAATTTTAGAGACCAAGTCTGACACCTTCTCTTGCTGGAAAATGCCTCATATACATTCTATGTTTAAGCTTGATAGGAATTTTGGTAGCACAGTGGTTTAAAGGTTGGACACAGTGGTTTAACAGTGGTTTGAATCCACCAGCCAGTCCACAGGAGAAAGGTGTGGTGACCTGACTCCATGAAAGCCCTATGGGTGGGTCTACTCTGTGATAAGGTTGTTCTGAGGCAGAGTTGACATAATGGGTGGTGGGAAGAAGATAAACATCAAGATACAGGGAACTCCAGGCCAGTCAGGACCCCAGGCTAGGGCCAGGTAATGCAAGGCCCCTTTGTTTTTTTTTAAAAAAAATGTATTGGCTTACAAAGTTTATATACATTGTGTTTAAATAAAATCATTCTCATGCATTATGTTTTATAAAATTAATCAGCTTTGGACCTTGCCCATCATTACCCTGTTTTTTCACCTACCTGGATCTTTCCCATTTCCTTCCCCCCCTCTCCCTCCACCTACCAAACTGTGCAGACCTGTGGTTTCACCCCTACCTATCCTCACCCCTCCACTGCCCCTCCCCACTTGACCTCCTATATATGCTTTACTAGTTATTCTTTTCTTTTTGCAATAAAGTTCTTATGCAGTCTTTGTCTTTATTACAGTATTAGTTCACTCAGCATAATGCTCTCCAGCTTCTCTCAAGTTATATATAGTTTTTCATAATCATTGCTCCTGACTGCTGCATAGTATTTCATTGTGCGAATGTAGCACAATTTCTCAATCCATTTGGTTGGACATTAGATAAGCCCCTTTTATTTACTGCTGGCTCTGCTTCAGAGAGAGGATGGTGGGAGACTCCCTCAGGTGTGTTTTCTTCAGTACCTGAAGAAAAAGGCCACATACTTGGTCCCCAGTGGCTACTTCTTTCTAAAAGGTTGTGTTTACCCTTAAACTCTTTCCCCCTCCTTAATTCTGGTTGTACTTAAGACTCACAATGGGTGTTTTAAAAATAGAGGTATCTTGGTCTCATCTTACACTGACTGATTAAAAAGTATTTGGAAGGGCTAAGTATTTTTTTTAAAGTTGCTCAGATAATTCTAACAGAAGGTAGAGTTGGGAGCCATCTTTCCTTAACGTCCTTTCCTCAGTCCTGCCTCTCTGTTTCTCAGCCCCAATGCATCCATTCTCATGGTCCTTTGGAATCTAAACCCTCAGTTCCGAGGCTTCTGCTTCTCAGTTCATGTCATTATCTGGGTTCCATAAACTCGTCCTGCAGTCCCTTGACCTTCTTACTCCTAACATCTCTGCTTCTCATCAGCAACTCTTTCTTATGGCCATTTCTTGTTGTTTTTTTTTTAAATTTTGTAATTTTTTTTATTGGAGTTCTTCTAATTCTGCTAGAGAAGAATCTTGAACATACCATGGACAACAACAATAACAACAACAACAACAACAATCTGGCTTGGAGAGGGTGAAACCAAGTTTCTGCTTGGAGACTAGGAGTTTGAAGCTCTTTCTCACATACTTTGGGCATATGGCCAGGAGGGACAGGTTCTTGGAGAAAGACATAATGCTCGGATGGATGGAGGGACAACTCAGGAGAGGAAGACCCCAGATGAGATGGATTGATACAGTAACAGGGGCAATAGGGGTAAGTGCATCAGAGTCAGTGAGACTGGCTCAGGACGGGGCAGGCTTCAGAGATGTTGTACATAGGGTCACTATGAGTTGCAGGTGACTCGATGGCACACAACAACAGCAACAACAACAAAACTCTAGGACAATAACCTTATTTATGAATATGTATGTTTTCTCAATCTAAGTATACACAACCTTCAAATTCAGCTATGTTTTTTTTATTTCATGTCTTCTTGATGGAAGGAAGATGGAAGGAATATACTGAGTCACTGTATTGAAAAGAATTGGAAGACACAGAAGAATTTCATGAAACAACATATGAGCAAGAGCCTATGGTGATGAAAGAAGAAGTTCAGGCTGCTTTGAAGGAC